CCTGCCGATGATGATCGCGGGCTCCAGCTCCCCGTGTTTGTTGATGTCCTTGTCTGCCTTAGGAGTGACTGATACTGCGGAGAAAAATAAGGAGCATAGCGCCAAAATCTTCCAGTTTCTGAAAGGAGAGCTTGGGCTTAGCGATGACCGGTAAATTAATAAAAAAAATGGCGGGTTGAACACACTTTGAATGTACTGGTTACTTACCTACATTAATATTTGGCAACTTGTTTGAAAGTTACAATGTAGTGCGTAAAATCTAGTAAACTTAACATATACATATATCTGAAAAGACAGACCAAAATATTATTGATTGACATTGATTTAATGGGCGTGTCTATTTTTGTCCAATAAAATGCTTCCTGGAATGATAATGTCCCTCCCCCTTAATTACAAATCCCACCTGCCACTAGCAAATCAGCGTTCATTTTTAATAGTGGCATTGCTTCAAAATGGCCACGGAATAGTCTAATTTATCAGCTGTGTTTGTCAAGTACATGGATTCAGAAATTTGCTAAAAATTAAATGGAAAAACAATGAAAACGCTCTTGAATAAAGCATCTGTGTAATTCATTCAGGAGTTTTGGGATGATGTGGGTAGCATTTGCTTCCAGGGTAGACAAGCAGTTTGGATCTACAGTATGCGTTTCATGGTTCAAGAAGAAAAGAAGAACACTCACTTTTCTTGCACACAAATAAACATGAAATACATTGTAATTGTGAAATCATACTATTTATTAGTGATACTGTGAAAACGGATTCTTCAAAGATTATTGGACTATGTTTTACAAGAACTACTTAAATTAACTCAGCATCTTACTAATGATTCTTTGTAATTATTTTTGAAATTTACTATCAATTTCTGAAAATCCTACACAATTTTTTTTTAATGTATAGACCATTTTACCACCAGGCAAGTTTTCTAAAGATGTTCTAAAGTCATACAAGTAGTTTATTAGTATAATATTTAAGCTATGTAGGGGGTGTCTTCAATGTGTTAGTTTTAGATAAAAAACAACAACAATGTTTTGACAGCAATTCTTCCAATTAAAATATGATATTTGAAGAGATGAACGTTCTATGAACTGTCACGATTAAAATACCCTCGAGTTCCGACAGATGGCGCTAGTTGCAAGAGAAGAATGAAGAAAAAATGATTCCAAGTTTATAGCTAAACACAAAGTTCTCATTTCATAGTCGAATTATAGTGCTTAAAAGCTTGATCAATTTAAAGTGGTGATAATATTAAGTCATTCTGTGTTCAAATTCCACACACTCACGATGAGCCGTTTGTCTTTCCCCCAGTTGGCAGAGGGTTAGGAACAGAGTTCAGCGGGGTGTGGTGTGGTGTGGTGTAGCAGACGCAGTAGTAGGCGATTCTTGTGCAACGGGGAACAGTCATTTCATTACAGTTTTCACTGGGTTGAGTTTTAGTATAGAAGTCACTCTTCAGAAAATGTCTTTGGAAATGTACTTGGATCTGTTTTCGCAGCCATGTCGCTCTGTTTACATTTTTGCCCAAAAAAACGACATCCAGTTCGACTACAAGAAGATTTCGCTTTTTGAAGGTACAATATTGTGTTACAGTATCTTAAGCCGTGTTAAGTGCATTTTACCTTGATTTTGCAGCAAAACTTCTTTATTGGAAGGAAAAACTTACAGACTATATGGAAGTTCTTCATTTTCATAAAGAAATGCAACAGTCTTTTTCCACTTTTTGTTATATTTCTGTGTGAGAAGTTGTGGTTAGCAGTGTTGGGGGTAACGCATAAGTAACGCGAGTTACGTAATCCGATTACTTTTTTCAAGTAATTAAAGTAACGCATTACTTTTTCATTTACAAGATACTATTTGAGTTACTTTTTCAAATAAGTTAGGCAAGTTACTTTTTTTTCGATATTTGAAGAGATGAACGTTCTATGAACTGTCACGATTAAAATACCCTCGAGTTCCGACAGATGGCGCTAGTTGCAAGAGAAGAATGAAGAAAAAATGATTCCAAGTTTATAGCTAAACACAAAGTTCTCATTTCATAGTCGAATTATAGTGCTTAAAAGCTTGATCAATTTAAAGTGGTGATAATATTAAGTCATTCTGTGTTCAAATTCCACACACTCACGATGAGCCGTTTGTCTTTCCCCCAGTTGGCAGAGGGTTAGGAACAGAGTTCAGCGGGGTGTGGTGTGGTGTGGTGTAGCAGACGCAGTAGTAGGCGATTCTTGTGCAACGGGGAACAGTCATTTCATTACAGTTTTCACTGGGTTGAGTTTTAGTATAGAAGTCACTCTTCAGAAAATGTCTTTGGAAATGTACTTGGATCTGTTTTCGCAGCCATGTCGCTCTGTTTACATTTTTGCCCAAAAAAACGACATCCAGTTCGACTACAAGAAGATTTCGCTTTTTGAAGGTACAATATTGTGTTACAGTATCTTAAGCCGTGTTAAGTGCATTTTACCTTGATTTTGCAGCAAAACTTCTTTATTGGAAGGAAAAATTTACAGACTTTATGGAAGTTCTTCATTTTCATAAAGAAATGCAACAGTCTTTTTCCACTTTTTGTTATATTTCTGTGTGAGAAGTTGTGGTTAGCAGTGTTGGGGGTAACGCATAAGTAACGCGAGTTACGTAATCCGATCTTTTTCAAGTAACTAGTAAAGTAACGCATTACTTTTTCATTTACAAGATACTATTTGAGTCACTTTTTCAAATAAGTTAGGCAAGTTACTTTTTTTTCCAATTTATTGATTGTCAGCTCTCCTGTCATGTTGAGAGAAATCAGAAGATGTTACTGTAGATCTAAAATAAATATGAATATGCATTAATTCATCTCACTCACAAAAAAAGCACACAGATTCAGTATTCCTCAAAATGAATAAAAATAATGCAACTCAGAATATGATGCGAACCTGCAATAATTAAATGATAAACAACACAAATATCCTTTATGTATTTGATCCCATTCTATTAACCAATGTCTTTGCTTCTGACCTTCGATGATCCAGTTCAACCATACTAATAAGCACAAATTACTCTAGACAAACATTTGACGAGCTGCGCAAAAAATCGCGCGAATATAAACGTGGTTTTGCGCAGCTCGTCAGTGAACAACGGCTCTGTGTAGTTAATGCTGCTCAATGTGAAAGCCCGCAGGTGATGGAGATTTACAGCTGATTACAGAACCGGCTTCACTGATAAGATGCGCGTTAAATATCGCATGCGATTTATCGTGCAGCCCTACTTTTGGGGTTTGAATTTCTTCTTCTGCATTCTACTGTACAGACGTAAATTTACTTTCCCTTCAGCCTGAGGCTTATTCATTTCACTTTTGGTGTGAAAAGGCTTTTATATTTGCCAAAAATATAACTTTTTTTATTTTACAAACAAACAAGCGAGCCCTGTCCAGATTTAAAAAGTAACGCAAAAGTAACGTAACACATTACTTTCCATAAAAAGTAACTAAGTACCGTAATCAGTTACTTTTTTATGGAGTAACGCAATATTGTAATGCATTACTTTTAAAAGTAACTTTCCCCAACACTGGTGGTTAGACTACAGAATGTAATCTTTTATTGATATAGGCAGATGTGGCTAGAGGTATTACTGGATTTAATGCTGTGAATCACTAATCTGGCAGTTACGCCGTTCCTGCACGTCTTAGAGCTTTTACATTGTGCCAGTTGTACACAATGATCACCCTAATATTATTATATGAGTATTTTTCCAAAACGTAAATATGAGATCTGTCCCTCAGGTTATCAGTATAGTGAAGAATATGGGAAAATCAGCCTGCTAAGAAAAGTACCAGCAATCAAAGATGGAGACTTTTGCTTGGCTGAAAGGTATGTGGTCTATGGATAGCAAGGTTTTCCATGTTTTCAGTTTAATTTAAGACTTAATAGTGATAAAAATAGCTTTTAATAGTATTTTAATTAGTTTGTTCCTAGGACACTCCCAATATATATATAGGCTAGTTAAAGCTTTTTTTTTTAAAAAGTAACTAAAATAATATTTAAAATATATATTTTTTAATACTTTTCTTTGACGTTAAACCATTTTAAGTCATTTTGAGGCCCTTTGGAAATTTCTGAAGCCCTCTGGTTGAAAAACACTGTTCTAGAATGTAAGAATCAGAGACACCTGTTTGTTTTGTGTCTCTTGTGAAACTGTTCATAATAAAGTGTTACTTCCTGTAGTGTTGCGATTATGCTGTACCTGGCTGAGAAGTGCCACACTCCAGACCACTGGTACCCAGCTGACTTGCAGAAGCGTGCTAGAGTAAACGAATATCTATCATGGCAACACTCTGCCATACGGATACATGGATCCAAGATGTTCTGGTTTAAGGTGAGTGAAGTAAATTTATTTTCATTCAAAGGTACTGTGTCTGTGTTAAACAGAACAACATTTAGATTTCAGCAGCTCCCAAGCTGATGGTTCACTCCTGTTGTTCTGTGACCTTGGGACTGAAGCCTACCTAGTCTTTAGAATTGCTACACAGTTAACTGCTAACTTTTTAGTGTACTTATTTATAAATGGAATTAAGTAGTTTTCTTATTTTGCTGTAGCTCTTGATTCCAAAAGCTTTAGGAGTTGAGATCCCTAAGGAAAAGATGGACAATGCAGTAGAGGATCTTAATGCATCACTAAATCTTTTTGAGGAGAAGTTTCTGCAAGACAGACCGTTCATTGTTGGTGATCAGATCTCATTGGCTGACTTGGTTGCTATTGTGGAAATCATGCAGGTAGGCCTATGTATGCAAATTATTCAGTTTCGGATGAAGCAATATTATGATTTGAGGATTTAAGCCAGATGATATCTGACAGTCGTTTTATACTTGATAACGCCTTTTTGTTTCAGCCTGTAGGTGCTGGTATGGATGTGTTTGAGAACAGACCCAAACTCAAGGCATGGAAGGACAGAGTCAGAGCAGAAATTGGGGCTGAGCTGTTTGATGAGGCCCACCAGGCAATTCTTTATGCCCAGGAGGCAGTGAAAACCATGGACCCCAAAAAGATGGAACACTTCAAACCTAAAATTTTGAGATATTTCCTCTCATAAACAAACTGGTAGACATTGTTGGTTAAAACAGTCAGTTATTCAGGAAAAAGTACTTTATCATTTTCTAACTACACTTTCCATTTGTATAATCACTA